GCCAGACAAAATCAATATCTGCCAACAGGAAACACCTGCAGTCCTCATGATTAGCATCCAAAGGAGGAAGCTTTAACCTCCTGAGTTCAGCTAATACCCATCTAGAATATAGCAATAACATATAGTTATCTGGTGTGGCTACGATAAATACAACAAAACAATTAGAAATTAAAAAAAAAAAACAATACACAATCAGATGTATCTATTTATCTATCTATCTATCTATCTATCTATCTATCTATCTAGAAGTGAAACTACAGCAAAGCTGTCACATTTTGTTTCAAGCGTCATAAGAATTATGCTTGTTTTTTGGCAGTTATATATATACACACACACACACATATATATAGATGTAACTGCCAAAAAACAAGCATAATTCTTATGACGCTTGAAACAAAATGTTGTTCAAAATGTGACAGCTTTGCTGTAGTTTCACTTCTAATTTGACTTTTTTTTCAGCCCTCTACAGAGCTTGCCCATAACTTCCTGTTCTACCCAAATACAGAGGTGTAATCATTTCTGCTTGGCTGCTGCACACCGTGCTGTTTATCTTTGGAGCTGCTGCTGAGATACAAGCCTTTTAACAGGGATGGCTCTTTCTGTGATTGCACTGATTTTGAGTGCTGGAGCTGCTTGTGGATATATACAAAGTAGGGCTACGACTGTCACTTGGCTTTTTGTGAGTAGCTCAGCTATGAGAAAGTGGAAGTATCCTGCAGAATTAAAAATGACTTAGTTTAGATGTTTGTTGTTTAAGTTGCAGGTATTGCTGTATATGTGGTCATCATGAAACATGTTTTAACAGCCACAGTTAGTAAAGGATTACAAAAGGTAAAAAAAACAAACCATCAGTCTACTTTAGTTATAGAGCTGTGCTACAGTAGGTGAAAATACAAGAGGAAGAAAAAACAAGAACTTGAATTTAAATATGTCTTTCTCAGGAAATGTTTGCTGAACACCAGTCACATGGTAAAATGCGAGTAGTTTGGAATGTCTTGTTGTAATCTGAGCTCAGCCAGTGCTAGTTAAATTTGATGTTTTAAAATTGACAAAATGACAAACTGTTAGATCAAGATGTCGACTCCAATTCTTACATTTGCTTTGAGTTTACAAAAATAATCTGTTGTACATTTAAATTACATTTAGCAATGTGACATTCAACAGTTTTCATTGCATTACATAGCTGGCTGGAAGTAGGGCCTGAAATTCTGGAATTTTTAAAGAGGATTTTAGGGGATTAAAATTCTGTATTGTGTTTGTACCTCTCACAATACAGATGCTACCAACTCACCTAACAACCATAACCAGGCCCATAACTAAATAAAAATGAAGGCCTTTGTATAAAAAAAGGGTGTGATTCCCGAACAGCTAATGCTACTCTTTTTGTAAAGCCCTGAATTAATTCTGAAACTCTGCGCTTCAGTGACATCTTCACTGTGGTGGTGTACAGAGGCAAAATGACAGAATCATTGGTATAATTTCCTAAGCTTGTTAGCACTTTATCATAAAGATAGAGTTAGGCACAACACCACTTTCTGTTCACTTCTGTTACATATTTAGTTACCTGCAGACACTAAGGTGAAATATGCTAGATAAAATGTGATGACAGATGTTTTTGTGCACTGTGTTCTGCAAAAACAAAAAAAACATTAGCAATTTATCATATCAGCACTTATATCCATGTATATTTGCGTCAGGCCAGTATTTGCACACAACGTTAGCCAAACAATATGTTTGCCTGGCTCAAGTTGAAAGGTTAGAATAACTGTCATAATGGAATCGTTATATATTTTCACCTTTAAAAAAAATGTGAAAAATGCTGTTTCAGTTTAAAGTTTGAAATAAAACAAATGCCTCAATTTTACCAAATGATTACAGGCTGCTGGTTTCTGTTTATGTCAGCATATTGGAGTGCATGCCGGTAGCCTGGGGGGTTGTACTGTGAAGAAAGTGCAGCACAGCCAAGCTCTGTATGCATTAGTGGCTTGACCACACCTAAAACCCCAGTTGGAGATAATGTGTGCCATGTTGTTGCCACTGTGTGCCACAGTGTTCCTTAGCTTTCTGCTTTCTGCTTCAGGTTCTGTGCATACTCGTGAAAAGGGGTGTTTGACACGTCGCATGACTCTTTCCTCAAAAAAATTGATCGTTGTGAGTGCAGCCTACGCTGACCTGCCCCAACCATAGACACCGTCAGATAATGATGAGAAAATGGTGATGAACAACATAACAATGTAATGGTAAAATGCGACACTGTTGCAAATAAGACAGGCAATTAATGCTACAGAAAATTAATAATCAGCTGATTTAGTGCACAGAGTGGTAAAATAAACATTTTAATTCAAGTTAATATATTTATTTTAGTGCTGAGTGCACTCGCTGTGCTAAGTGTATTTATAATGTGATGGCTCATTAGAGCTCTGAAACTTTAAAGTGCATACCTTTAAAGATTAAAGGGTACTGTCCTATAGCGTAATAAAGGAGACATGGAAAGGTATTTTGTCAGCAGATTCAGATGAAATTAATATGACTGACTGAACAGGTATTCTGTTCTGTGTTCAAGTAGCTGCAATTGGAGCAGTGTGAAAGAGACAGCAGCAGATTAAGCAGATTGGAGGCTGTTAGCCTAAGTGAAGATAAGACGAGCTGCAAACAGGGGAAAACAGCTAACCGGGGTTTGCTAAAAGTGAGTGAGGTCTATCATTCCCAGCTAATCACATATGGACACCTGTGAAGTGCTCAGTAAATATGGTAGTTCAAGCAAAGACAGTGATTTGGTAAACACAACGATTTTAGTGCCTAAACCTAAAGAACGAGTGAATACAAAACAACTCTAGAAGAAAAGTGTTGTGTCCTCACTTGACATAGAGTTGACTTAAATTAGCCAGTTAGCCAGTAATTCATTAATTAACAACAATAAAAACTACTTTTTTATTTCAAACTAGCATATACTGAGTAGAAGAGCTACACCCCCTACCAGCCTGTTGGCTGCTGTTAAGGTCGGGGAAATCAGTGTGTAGAATGTTTGAACTGCTTCCATCATGTATTCATTTTGCACCTTCTTCTTTTCAGCACAGTCCCACAACTTCCATTACATCTATGGATGCTATGAATCTGATGATGTGCGGGTGGACGTTGTTGTTGACGACGACGTGGTTGCATATGCCGATTTCAACAAGAAAGAGATAGTGTGGGTGTTACCTCACTTGCCACAACCTGCAAAAGACATCCAGAAAATGGCTTATGAACTCGCCAAAGCCAGCACTGCACACTGTCACAGCGTTTTGGGTAAAGCAAAAAATGCTGATCCCGGCGCTCCCCTACGGCAAGGTACTGATCTTGGCACACTTCATTGCGAGCATTCGTTTAGCTCAGCCTGATTGAGGGGAAGAAAGAACACTGTTGATCCAACTGAAAGCAGATGTAACCAGAAAGAATTAAGAGAGCACATACCAGGTTTAAAATATCTCTTTTCTGTGACTTACACAAGCTGCTTTGAAACTAAGTGCTCCAGGCAGGTGCTAGACTGGTGGAGCCTTAATTACACAGCTATTCAGTTACCTTCTCTCTGGCTTGAAAAATATATTGAGACAGAATCACCTTTGAAAAGTAATTATATACTATTAAATTAGCTTGAAACTTGTGTTACAGTGGCCTTTCTAAACTACTCTAAGGCAGTCTCCTTCCATAAACTGAACTCTTCTGCTTATGCCAGCATTTTCTTAGAAATTATAGATAAGATGAACAAATGCAATGTGTGTGGTGTCATTTCGTGTGGCAAACTCACAGAGAATAGCTGCCTGACTCTGTAGATTGTTATTTTAGTGTTCGGAGTTTCTCTCAAATGAAAGTGCAGCATAGTTGGTGATGATGAAAAACAAAGCTCAAAGAGGGTCAAGTGGCAATGAGAAAATATTCTGGAGGTCAGCACAGGTACAAATCATTTCTTTTCAATCCAGCCCATTATGTCTGTGAATTATAACCATGCACTGCTGGATATCTCATTCTGCTTCTTAGCACAGATTAAATTAAACTGTCAATAGTGCATTTTAGCTTTGTTATTACTCCGCTGACTGCACAACGTGATGTCTACAGAATAATGACACCATTAATGTTTAGATTGTTTCCATATAAGCTTTACTTTTGCAGTCTGTCTGCCATAGCGTATGAACTTTCCAGTGAAAAAGCAGTCTGTTCCCATCTTTATTTATTACCTTTTTATATTTAGTACCTTTATTTACTTTATGAGTTAATTACACAATATAATTTTAAGGAATAAATGTTCAAAAAGCTGCCTGATGTAGCAAATATGAAACAAGTGAAAACTCATATGCAAATTAATATTTGTTTTTCATCAGAAGGCTCAATAAACACTCCGAATTTTCTGGCAATTATTTCATGGTTCAGCCTTGAAATTAATAAATGTATCAATAAGGCCTCCTCACCTCAAAATTCTCATATATTTATTTCTTTTTTTCGGTTGGTTTGTAAACAAAGTATTTAGTTTTTCTTTTATCATATTTTTAAATCAGAAGCCCGGCTTATATTTTAATTTCTGAGTGTTTTTTGTGCCTAGTTTTAGTTGTTAGTTTTGGTTTAGTTAACGGCTATAACCTTGTGATGAACATGTAACCTGCAGAAAGATGATGACAGAGAAGCAAATCATTTAAAAATGCTACAGTCCCATTAGGAGCCCCTCTGGCTTCTACTGGCACATTTGCAGTTTTTTTATGGTAATAGTCACGTTTAAATATTAAAATAACCTCCGGCACCAACAATGTTTGGCAAAAAAAAAAAAAATGCAAAAAAAAATACAATTTTCATTTTTTTAGATGCTTAAATGTCTCTGTCAATGTCTTACATTTTAAATCTGTGAATTTGTTATATATTCTTAATTCTATCAAGGTAATATTTCCTGGGGGGGATTTTGCTCTAAAAGTATGAAATGTGTCACTCTTTGACCAGATCCTCCTGACATCTACATCTATACCCGGTATGAGGGGGAGGCCAGTGTGATGAACACTCTCTTTTGTGTGGCCAACCATTTCTACCCACCCACCATCAACTTCACATGGACCAAGAATGGAGTGGAGCTCACAGAGGGCGTGGCAAACTTACGTTATCGTCACAATCGTGATGGGACATTCCACATGATTTCTACGCTTCTGTTCACTCCAAAACCTGGAGACTATTATATCTGCACGGTGGAGCATCAAGCTGCACAAGTGCCTATCAGCAAGAGCTGGGGTAGGATTATTACCTTATAATATAAAGTGCCTGAAGTGACTGCTGTTGTGATTTGGCACTTCATAAATAAAATTGAATTAAACTGAACTGAACTGTTTTTATGAATAAGCCAAGGACTCTTGAGATTCTCCCCAGTAGACAATCAGGTGACGATACCAATTTTAGAACCCTCCTGCAATACCAATACTGTGTTAGATTACATTTTTCTTTTTACATGTAAGGTCTGCAACATTATCGCTTTCATACGTCCTAGATTAGCAACTAAAGTAAAGCTGTTTGAAGCAAAAAGCAGCCTCCTAACATTCATGTTCTGTGAATTGGGGAACCCTCCATGTACCATCTGATGTCTTATATTTTATTTATGCTTCCTATTGTCACCCTTCTAAGCAGTTGCACATGTCAAAAATGATATCACAATTCACTTGATTTGTATTGTAATATGGTTTTTGTAAACCTCGCTCTTGGTTGGAGGCATGGATCTATGAGAGGGTTCGGTCATGTTAATGCTGGAGCTCAGAAATATCCAGCTTAGAGAGAGGGAAGAGGTGCAACAGTTTAAAAAAAAAAAAAAAAAAAGGAATCCTGAAGAAAATTTAAAAACATACAAAGAAAAAATCTCTGTGATTTTTTTCATTTGACTTTTTCTATTCCCACACCAGCGCTGATGCAGAGTTGCAGCACTTACAACTTAGGAGAAAACTACAATGAGTCCAAGCGTGCCTCAAGCAAAAAATATGTTTGGCTTTGGTTGCTGACATGTGCAACATGCCAATATTAGGGGCTTTTGGGCTAGCTAGAGGATATCCAGGAAAAGATTTCCTGTTGGTAAATGTGGGTAAATTTTTAAAGGCTAAAGAAAAACTGAGTAGCTTTCACATGAAAGCCAGTGTCTTGACTGAAGCATAATCCTTTTTTCACACCTTTATTTATCACATACAACCAAAGCCTGCTCGAATGCAGTTTAGAAACATTAAAAGCTTTGCTAACAGATTCTTTGCAGTCTTGCACAGATATCTGTTTATTGTGATAAATGCCTCCTTTCCAGACTCTATATTAAAAAAAAAGTCATCTGGCTTCCTCTGTTTACCTTAAATAACAGCAGTCATAGAATTATTACAAGAAGGCCTTTTTAGACATAAACAGATGCAATTTTCAGTCATTTTCAAAATACACAAATAAAATATTTATTTTATTTTATTTTCAGAGTTGAAGGAAAATAAGAGGAGCAGAGTGAGCCCTGCAGCCGTGTTTTTCGGTGTGAGTGTCGTTTTGTGCCTGATGGGATTCGGGACCGGAGTCTTCTTTTTCATCAAGCAGCCAAATTAATGTCTTCCAATTTGAGATTGAATTAAATAAATTAACTTTAATCATTCAATCTTTAATCCTCTGATTAACTGGTTTTATATGTACAAGCAAAACACATCAAAAAACATAAAAATCCAGTATCTTGTGCTTACAGATAACCTCTCTATACCACTGCATTAATAGTAAATGACAGTTTGTTTACTTAATGTGTTTAATGTGTACTTACAATTTGTATTGTTTTTCACTTGATGATGTGGTGTTAATATACTTTGATTTTTAATAAATAGATAATTACTCGGGTTGTTATATAACAGTGTATGGCTTTATAACACGCAGACCTACAAAATAATTTGTGTAGAATAATTCATCCCTGCTAAGAATTTATAGATAAATAAAGCAAACATCTTGCACAACTGTGAACTAAAGAGTTGTAATGTCTTTGTTTGTTTGGTTTGAGGTAGGTAAACTTGTTTAATAGTTTTTGAAGACTAGCTCGTTGGCGCCCTCTGCTGCACTTCTGGCTGAATGGCAGCCGGGTATGTCCGGCGGCGCCGTTGTTTCATTTATTTTTGTCCCCCTATCAACGGGCTCCCCTTATGTAGTTCCACAACACGCATGTAACACGATCCACAAACTCTGGCGACATGAGTGCTGATAGTTGTGGTGGAAAAGTGGCTTTGCGGAATCTGGTTAACTCCATCAGCTGTATCCGAGACCGAGTCAGAGGTAACTGCGCCACATTATCTGTCTGTGTTGTCACAAATGAAACTGCTTAACCATAAAAGCTTATGTCAAGCTAGCTAAACGTGCTACTATATGTGCTAAAATATGTGCTAACATTGGTATAAACTTTAATGTTAACTGTTGTAGATTTACGAGTTTAACTGTTTGTTAAACTCGATTCGTGAGTTTAGCAGCAGTTAACGAGTTTGACTGCTGTTTGTTAACAGACAAAGACGGGGATTTAACTAATATAACATACAGCGATAAAGACATTTGGCACTTTATTACGTGACCCAGCTACATTTAGCTGCTAATTCCTGTTCGCTTTTATTCAGGTTTTTATTCCCAGGTTTTGTAGAAAATGGAGGTTTGGGCTTTTTGTCGTGCTTTTTTAGTTATATTATCTTGTCCTCATCTTAACTGACCTAAATGTGACATTAGACCTCAGTGTTACTCGGTATATAGAGTGTGTTTCATGAGTCAGTTTTGTGAACAAAAACAACTGCTTGTGCAGGACATAAGAATACTTAAAGGTTTGCTTTTACAAAAGAGTGTAAAGCTGAAATACGAAAATGACAAAATGGACAATATCAGACATTTTAATACGAAAAAAATGTTTATCAAGACAAACATACAGACAGGAACTAAAGCGCCACTCAGCCCTAAGTGGCCCTTTACTGTCATAAATCCAAAACACCTACTTTGTTGTCGTCATCAAAATATTCAGACATTTCATTATGTCCAAAGCAGTGGCTAGCTAATTGTAGTTGATCATTTAATTATTGAATTTTTCAATCTACTTTATTAATTATTTAGTATGAGGTCCGTGTTTTTCTGTACATGGGAGGTTTTGGTCTCCCCTCTGAAGAAACCCCAGTATATAAAAGCCCAAATATGTTTGTTTTTTTTCTCCAAAGTAATGTCCAGAAATGACACAGAAATGCACTGACTTCTGTTAACACTTGAGAAGATGAGTCTGATCAAAACTGACAGCTTTAACCCAAGAAACCCTTAAATATTAAAGATTGTAAGAAAGAAATAATTTTTTGTGCCATGGAGTTGTCTTTAAATCCTATTTTCAGACCGCTTATCCATTTTACAGTGATTTTAAACAGCAATAGAAGCTAATTCTCCTATTTCAAAAGTTGAAATTAGATTATTTAAAGAATAAATTATTGTAATAATTGTTTGTACTGAAAATAATTCTCTGCACTTTGATAACAGTGAAGTTGCAAGGAGTAAAGGTAGTGAAGGTTAGATGAGTAGGCCTGGGAGTCAACCATCCAAAACAACAGACAGTGCACAAGAAGAGATTTCAAGCAGGCTGGAGATGAGGTGTCACGGGTGAACTTTTTGACAGAGGGATAGCAGCAAGAGTGAAAGGGGAGGTTTACAAGATCGTAGTTTGAACTTCTATGATGTGTGGGTTGGAGACAGTGGGACTAAAGTGGGAAAAAAAACAGGAGGTGGAGCTGGAGGTGGCAGAGTTTAAGAATTTCTTTGGAGTTATCAGTATGGACAAGATTAGAAATGAGTACATCAGATGGACAGATCAGACTGAGCAGCACAAAGTTAGAGAGGCAAGGCAGAGATGCTTTGAACATGTGCAGAAGAGGGATATGGAATATCCTAGGCAAAGGGTGTTGTATATGGAGCTGCCAGGCAGGAGAAAAGGACCACAGAGAAGATTCATGGATGTAGTGAAGGAAGACATGCCAAGGTTTGGTATGACAGAAGAGCATGCAGGGACAGGATGAGATGGAGACAGATGATCGACGGAGCAGCCAAAAGAAGAAGACTCCTCTGCAGTTTAGCTTAAGAACTAGAACCGAGAATATAGAACTTTTTTTTTCCTTCGCAGATGGAGAATCAAACGAGTCCGATGGAGCATTCAACCTCTCCAACTTCTGGGACACTTTGAGTTGAGTATCATGATCTCTTGCTGCTGTTTCAGCTCCTAGACTTTTGAACATCCTTTGACAACTGGATGATGTTCATGTCTCGTTACAGTGAATGTTTTGTGAGAAATGTATTTGCATTGTTTTTATAATGTTTTTGAAATGACTTATTTGATATTAAAAAAAGAAAAGAAAAAAAGCATTAGGAGAATTCCTTCCTTCATGGTCTTGTTGTTACACGATGCAACTGTCTGTGTCAACAGATCAGGCAGTGAAGGCAGTGTCCCAGGAAGCCACTAAACTCAGCCTGGCCTTCTCCAAGCCTCCTCTGCCATCACAACAGGTCAGATTATTTCTGTAATGCGAGCTGAGCTCTTACTTGGAGCCATAAATTATTGTCATGTATCTCAGGGTCTTGAATTTCCACATAAACCTCCTAAAGACCAGCACATAATTTGTTTTCTGTCTGTTTTTCCTCCACAATCTCCAGGATGGAGAGAAGCTGGCAGAGTCCATCATGAAGAGCATCCTCACACTGTCTACAGTGTATTACTGGCTACCTAAGAGCCAAGGTAAAACCCTGTGAACAGCAGAATAGTAATGTTGTATTCAGACGAGCGAGGTGAATACGTTGCACTGCATTCAGGTTTTTGGACCATTTCACAATGCCAGAATATCGCAATACACTTGTCAATCTAATCCAGACTCCAAAAGCCAGAGCAAGTGCCTGTCTGTGGGCTTGTCTATTTACTTCAGTGCGATGCGCCTCTGTGTTTACTACGGTAGTACAAGTCTTCACTCACCCCTGAGGTTTTTTTTGGAAAATAGGAACAACTTATTGAAATGTGCAATTATAGACTGCAATACAGTTAATGAAGCAAAAACAGTTTTTATAATTCTAACAAGCATCAAAGTCAATATTTCGTATGACCCCTCTTATTCTTTAGCACAGCCTGAACTCTCTTAGGCAAACTTGTCTTCTATTTGTCTAGTTTCCTCAGACTTTTTAAGGACACACTGTGCATCTCTGCTCCACTCACAGTGAGACAAAGTGAGAGGGTGGGAAAAAGAAAGTATATCCAATGTAGCAACAGCAGTATTCAGACTTTAGCTCAGTGTTAAAGTCTCACAAATAAATAGCATAAATATATATTTTTGTTATTTTACTACTAAAATTATGCAATAAGCAAACTGTATTTGTGGATGCATTTATTTGTCACATTATATTTCACAAATTTAGGAAAGAATTGTTTAGGTTTAACCTGATATTGCCTTAAGTATAGAGATTGATTTCTAGTCTTTTCCTGGAGTGGTGTGTGAATGTGAGTGTGTGTGTGAATGACTGAATGTAGTGTAAAGCGCTATACAAATACAGGCCATTTACATTCAAGTGTACAGCTTGATAATTTAACACTGGTATCAGTAGGTATCTGAAGTTGAGGTGTCTGAATCGGACTGGAGAAGATTGATGCGTCCTTACCCACTTATTCACCGCTTTTAGCCACTGCAACCTCCAAAGTACAACCAGAGACTGGAATTAAGTAATAGTAACATCATTTTTGAACTTACAGCTCATTCTGTGTTCTTTTCAGTGGTTGAGAACTAAAAAATAAAACTTATGTACAGAAACAGTCATTATAACTTCCTTGATGCTGTCAACATTTATTGTGTTGTGAGTTGCTTTGAAATACGTGTAGATCTATACCTTTATTGCGACTTCAGTGTCAGAGTGTTTTGACCTTCTGTTCTCTCGGTGTCTCAGGGCTGGCTCTGCGCCGACTGGTCAGAGATGCTACTGTCGAGGTTCTAGAGGGAGTTGCACAACTGGTAGAGGTCATAATGAGCTCACCTCTAGAAAGGTATGAGTTTTAAGGTGAATTAAACGATCTGTTTTCACAGTGAGATTTAACCGGATCTCTCCTGGCTGGTGACTACATGGTTCAGATGTAGTAATGGTACTCAGTTTGTACGACCATATTTTTCAGAAATCTGTAATGTTTCTGTTATTTCTGAACATTTAATGGCTAAAAAATATAATTTTTAGAATCAACAGGTAGCACCAAAATAGGACTTGGGGAAATCCCGTGATTAAAAAAATGAGTGCGTTAATGCACCCGTGTAAGGGGTTACTCTGTGTTAGCGCAGACCCATCTGGAGTGCAGAATCGACAAACCTAGGACAAACTGCCTGAAATGCTGTGACAGAGACATTTCAGGGATTTTGAGTCAGTCTGCGCTCCAGGTGGATTAATTGTTAATCGCGTTAAATGTGATGACAGCGTTAACATGTTTAAGCCGCGTTAGATTAGCCAGTTTCAACGCGTTAACGCTGACAGCACTACTTTATAAACCAAAGGTAGATTATATATTTACTCTTTGTTGCAGAAGCACCACCAGGAGTAAACATTTATAAAAGCTTCAGATTTAGGAGATTATATATATATATATATATATATATTTTAAGCAAAACAAAAACAGTAAGTTGTAAGGTATTTCCTTTATATTCCCCTTTCTGTTTTATGTTCTTCTTAATTTATCATCTTCTTCCTCGTTCTCTTTCCAACACTTTCTTCCAGCCTCAGCCAGGAACAGCTGATGTCAACAGGAGGAGTGTGGTCTGCCTGCGACCAGTTCCCTCAGTTGTCAAAAGGTCCGTTGACAAAGACAAAACAAAACAAAACAAACC